TTGCATCTAATTCTGTTGTGAAGTATTCTTAGGAAAATTTTAAGAGTGTGGCTCATTGAGCTAATTAATCGATATTCTGAGCATTTTCTCGCATTGTGTTTTTTAGGTATTGCGACAAAGATGGATTTGAACCAATCTGTGGGAATCACTCCAGTGGTATATATTGAATTAAAAAGTCTTACTACTACTTTTATGTTATCATCCTATATTAGTTGCAGCAACTCAGTTGGTGTATCATCAGGACTACAAGCTTTTCTAATTTTAGCATTTATAGCGTGTTCTACCTCGCATTTCATAATTTCTTGGCCGTCAGTACAGTTTTGGTAGAATTCGGCAATATTATTCCTGTCATCTTCAAACAATTCTGATATATACAGCTGCCATTATTTTCTTATTTCGTGCTCATTTACAATAATTTTCTTATTATTGTCACGAGTACAGAGGGAACTCGTTTTTTAAATATGTTACTCATTTCTTTTAGTTTTTTGTGCATTTTTGTCCATTTCGTCGCACCTTTCTCTCATCCATTTTTCTTTGGCTAATTTGATCTCCTTTTTTATTCTTCTCTGCAGGTATCTATATTCTGTTTCATTAGATTTTATCAGTCGATGTTGTTCCATTAATTTTAAGATGTCGTCTGTCATCCATTTATTTTTCTTGATTAAGTTTTTTCTATAATCATTGATTGTGGAGATTTCGTTAACTTGGTTTTTAAATTCACTTCATAGTTCTTCTGGATCTCTAGTTGTTCTCCGATGTTTTTTATTGTATTGCTAAATTCTTTTTTAATGTTATGTTTTATGTTTATATCGTCAAAGATAAGTACATTGGTTTTTGGCGCTGAGTTTAATATCTGCTGCTACAAGTGGCAGATCCAATATCTGCACCAGGAAATGTAGTGACTTTTTTGGCGGCATTTCGGAAACGCTCATTTACAAGTATATAGTCTACTTGATTTCTTGAAGACTCAAGGCTATTGCCATCATCAAATAAGACTTTCCAAGTGTATAATCGTCGCTTGGGTAGTTTATACCAGGTGTTTGCAATGATCATATCGATTTTTTTTTTACAAAATTCATATAATCTCTGTCCTCGATCGTTAGGTTGTCCTAAACCATAAAGACCTACAGTCTGACCTCGTCGACCTTCCCCAATTTTTGCATTGAAGTCGCCTATAATATATAAAATTTCGTGTTTATTAAGTTTCTGTAATATGTCTTGCATCTGATTATACAACTTCTCGACTTCATCGTCATATTTTTGAAGTATGTTAGTTTTAAATAGTTGAGTATTTATTTGGAATATTATTATTCTAAATTATTGTTCTCTTAGTAATATTATTCTATCCGAAACTGGTACGAAATTGGTCTCATATTTACTCAGTTCTGTGATGGTACCGGAATAATATAATACACTTCCCTCCTTTTTACATGATCCTAACTCTGGTCATCTTATTTCGCTGATTCCCAGTGGGTCTATTTACATTTTTTTCCTTTCTCGAATTGCATTGTCAAGTTTCCTAGCCGCAAATAGACTTCTAAAATTCCATGTGCACATTTTAAAATTAGATTTTTAGGATTTCTTCACGAGGTTTTCGCATGTTTGCGACCTGAGAGGTCTCGTGGTATAAAATGTTCCTCCTCTCCTCTCCATGATTAGTAACGGTTTTCAATTTTCCTGAGGGTGCTCTATGATCCGTTAATGCAGTGGTTTCCCTTTGCCTTCTACATTCTTATGCCGTTGACTATTATTTGTTGATTCATCCGCCATCGGGGCCTAGGACGAAAGAATGCTCTACCACTCACCAACTCATCTGCACTAAGCCGTTGGTCAGTAGGTGGGGGATTGTTTATACCGGCAATCACTCGGACCTCAGAGCCTCATTTGTTATCTAGCAAGTTGCACCGGATGACCATAATCAAGATCATCACGCGGGCAGGTGAGGTTGACATTTGGATAGGAGAGATACGTTGCGCATCACTACCCCTTGCATACCTTTCTGCGCTTATAGTTAATAGATTTTAACAAGAGCCATGACTCATGCCGATTCAGTACACAAGTTTACCTATTATTTTTAAGGTCATAGATCTTGTCAAAATCCATTACTTCTACTAATTTCATTATACATGCAGAAGCCAGAGTTGCTCTGATGAATTCTGTCAGGACGAAATAGGTACGTATAAGCGAATAATCAGGGGCATTATATGTAAAATCAAATCTTAACTGTATTTAATTTGTCCTTAATTACTCGATATTAATATAAGAAATAACCAGTTCATGAAAGATTTTTGCTTAGATGAATCGATATGTCATGGAATGCAATTTTGATTCCCCATGTCGCTTCTTTTACCATCTGATTTAAGCAAAAATCTGAATTTTGATTTCGACCGGCGGCGGCTCGTGGCCTAAAAAAGTGGTGAAGATGAGGAAAGCTTGCTGGAGCCAAAAGGAGTTTTGGTACCTACGTCGCGCCCAAATCTCATTAAAAATTCGTTAAAAAAATTTTTAGTTATATAAAAACTAAACTAATAAATACTATACTATACACTATATACTCGGTTTCATCGTTCTTGGCGTGTGCCTGAAATAAGCTACTACGGAATTTTTAATTTTCGTCTCTCTTATACACAGATGCGTAATTCATTTGTACGAGTCACGTTCGTCATGGTAAAGTGTGATGAGAAGGGAATGAAGAGACCACTCACGTCTCCCAGTATTGTAGCAATAACACCGATGAGTTTGGCCGATACGGTGTCGGTGATAAGTTCGGCCTCTTTACGAATACAGATAGCTGCCCAGTGACGTGTTTTTTTTTTTAACATGTTACCCTGATCTGTGCAGGTTTGAAGTAGCTGATGAAATAGTTTTTATAAGTAAACAGTTTTTAAGTAATTAATAGTTTGAGCTCTTACTGTGTGGAATTCCATTACATAAAATAATACTCTCGACACCTTAAAAATTCCAGTTTATTATAAATTAACTCTCTCTCTTCCGATACCCATTGCAATAATGACTTGTGGCATTGTTCTTGAATGAGCTGGCTAATAGGTTTATAATTGTAGCAATTACCATTGATATTTTATGTTGTTTTAGTCGATTTAAGTCAGTCATTGTTGGAATTTGTTTTACTTATTATTTTTTTGTTGTGAATAACTAATTGTTCTATTTAATAAAAAAAAATGCCGGGAAAAACGATAACAGGAAAAATGCGACAATGTGTAGTTCATTTATTGAAGTATTTTAAAAAAGAATACAACGGACCTTTGCTTTCGTTATTATCGGTACATGAACGAGTAGCGGACGCTTTGAAGCGTCCGATTAATCAGTCTTCGCACAGTGACATGAATAAAGAGTGAATACAAGACAGGTGCAGCTCTTACTACATCAGGAGAGTCACGTAATGTACAAAAAAAAAGACTAATGATGTCAGCGATACTATAACAAGAGAAATTAGAAATGTACTGTATGGCATGAAAGCAAAAGGAGAGCACGTTACAATTAAAGTTCTAAATACACAATTAAGAAACAAGCATCTCTATGACGGTTCTGATACAAGTTTGTGGCGTCTTATGAAAAATTGTGGGTTTTCATACAAACTAGAAAATAGTAGACGAGTGCTGGGTATGTGAGAAACCATGTGTTGTCTCCAAACGACTGTACTTTTTGAGGCATTATATGAGAAATTTTTTAAGTCCAAGCCCACTTCAGTTCGTTTTTTTAGATGAAACATGGATATTCCTAAAAGGGGCATATAAACGTACTAGGCAAGATGACTGTGTGAAAAGCATCAGAAAAGGACACGAAAATACAGGTAAACGCTTTGTTGTTTGACATGCCGGAAGTAGGCAAGGATTTGTTAAAGATGCTGGATTACTGTTTTCTACGAAATCGAAGAGTGCATACGAGTTTCTACGAAATCAAATATTCATTCGTTCGAGTTTAATATAAATTTAAATTTTTTTTTAAATACCCGATTTCATAAAATAATATAATAAAAATGTACTGTTTCAAAGCATATTTGAGGCATAAAACATATACATAATAAGGACATGGCAATACCGCACACACAAATTTGACAGATTATTTGTAGCTAACTTCATCGGCACTTTCTCTATACTTTAGCCATGTAAATTTAAAAGAAATAAAAAAAATACCAGTCAAATACAAAGCACTGTCAAATACAAAATTTTCAATTATTTGTAGCTATTTTCACTGCCACTTTCTATATACTTTTGCCTGATATTTAAATATTTTCGGAGGGTATTTTGTAATTTAATAAAATTGGCAACTCTGTAGCTGTACTACCTACTTACTGGTACGGTTTCATTTATTTTGGCAGAAGTATAGAGAACGTGCCGATGAAGTTAGCTACAAATTATTGACAGATTGTATTTGACAGTGTTGCCATATCACAAATAAATCACGAAAGAGCATGCGATATATTATTAATTAATGTTACTATTTACTAAACATTATTTTTAAGTTTTTAAAAGAAGTTTAATTAATTTAAATTTATTACAATTTAAATTAACTTTAAGCATTTATTCAGGTACCATTTCATCCCAAAATTATAAGAAAATAGTTATAAAATTGAAATCTGCTGAACATCTGTTGCAATCTGGCAGCTAGTGTTTTCAATGTTTTGACAGTATTGCCAAGTTTATTTGCTAATCTACCAAAGGCCAATTGTAATTTTTTTTTTCTAATAACTAACTGCAACTAACATCAAAAGAAACAAATATTCACTCGTTCGTGTTTTATATGAATTTAAAAAATACCTAATTTCATTAAATAATATAATAAAAATGTACTTTTTCAAAGCATATTTGAGGCATAAAACATATACATAATAAGGACATGGCAATACCGCAAACACAAATTTGACATGACGTTTATGGCCAACTTCATCGGCACTTTCTTTTACCTTTATGCCTTTATTTTATTTTATTAATACAAACAACAATGATTAATTTGATTGATTAATTTTGATATAAAACAAAATGGAATTTGAACATTTACCTGAAATAAAATACGAACTAGACCTGTATGAGGATAAACCAGAGACAGTCGATATTGCCGATTTGTTTAATAATGGAACTGAGGAAAATTTGCCTTTTGAAGTCATTGGTGCAAATGCAGCAGCAGTTGCAGGAGGAACTGAAAAAGGTAAGCAAATGAGCTCGTTCCTCGTTCAGTTATAATTCAAGAACTATACTTGCAGATTTTTTTAATATAAAATTGGAATTAACACCAACTATAAAAATAGAATTATTGAAGTTGGTCTCTAGTTCAAATTAGAAGTTTTAAAAATTAATTAAATGCCTCTTGGGTGAGGCATATGAGTTTATATTCTTTGATACCAATATGGGTTAAGCCTGTTTTAAATTATACTTTTTTTTGTTAACAGAAAACAATAAAACAAAATAACTTAAAAACCACCTCAGTGGTAAGAGCGTCTACCTTTGAACCTAAAGGTCGTGAGTTCAAATCTGACCTGGGTGGAGAAATTTTCGTTTATTAAAAATTAATAAGTGAAAATAATTTCTATCTTTGTACTCACTGGAGGGACCGCAGACGTTCGGATACAATTAGCGTCTCTTAGCAAAGACAATGACATCGACTTTACTAAGTATCAAGACAATTACTCTACACACACACACACACACACACTGCACTAGGTACCTGACTGTAAAAATTCACTGTACCATGCCAATGACCATTAGTTGTCGATGCATTAAACTCAATAAAAAAAAATTAATTAAAATTATTGTAGGTATAAAAATTATATAATATTAAATACAAGAAGTTTTGGGGATTATCTATTCCACCTTATCTCTTATGTTATGTCAATAACATATTAATGATACATAATTGATATTTTACAATAAAATATATATTTTATAAAAGATAAGTTTGGTGTTAATATTGAGAGTAAAAATAGATGTAAGACCAGATACTTACAAGACAAATCACATGCTATGGATATTCTGTTTTCATGTAACTGAATAAGCTATCTTCCAATAAAGTTGTTCGAGGGACTCCAAAATATTGGCAATATCATTTTAAAGTCATATACTTTAAAATGTACAATATATGTCTGAATTGTCAATATGAATAAGTGAGAGCAAATTAAATTAAAAAATTTTTTACCAATCACAGTAAGAGGCCACAAGAAAATAGTTTCAGAACAACCTTATCTCTTTAATGTAAGCAAATTGTAGTTTACTTCTTTTAAGCATATCTACTAAATCTTACATGTAAGACTTCCAAGATTGCAAGACCTTATCTTGATTTTTCGAACCTATAATTGTGTTCCTCTAAATTAGTCCTTACCTGGAAATCTTAACAGATGTTTTGTTTGCTTCTTGAACATTTTACCTCAGGAGATGCCATCATTTCAGTATAATTTTTGTTACAGCGGTGAAAGCCTTTTCATTATGGCTTGAAAAGAAATTTGATATCTGAACATGTTTTTTATTAGCATTATGACCTGCATGATTTAACTAACACACCACCAATGTAGCCAAAGGCCAATCAACTAAATAAGGCTGTGAAATTACTGTAGTTTAGTCACTATCACAAACCACTTGTGATCACTATAAAGTTTCGCTGAATGACATGTCACAATATTTTTACGAAAAATTTGGTTATAAATGTATATGATTAATTTTTTAAACAAAGTGGAGTAAAAATAGTATTCAACACAACAAAAAGCAAACAAATATGAAATATTATCTACTCCATTTATTTACAGAATGCTTAGTCCATTCGTAAATCAACATTATGATGAGTAATAACAAAATCGTTATCATCATAGTCATTAACATCTTGGCAGATGTGTTGTGGTTCATTATTTAGATTCAGCAGCTTGGATATACTTGGTTGCACACAGTTCACATTTCCGGCACCATCTTCTTACATCAGCTTTACTGTTCACCCAACAGAACCTTTCTCAAACCTTTTGCAGAGTCTTCATAATACCGAAGTGTCCACTTGATTCACCATCATGCAACTGACGCAATGCCTCTGATACTTTACTTTTAGGTAAAATCAACTGAAGCTTAGATTCTGTATCATTATCGTTCTCAAAGGTTCTATACAGAAGATCTTTTATTACTAGGGCTACTAGGCAATTCCATTGGCTCCAGTAAGACTTGAACCTCTGGACTACATGCACAAATGTCTTGCCAAGTAGGTCTCTCATTTCGATGCATCCAATCCAATACTCTTTTTTATAGATGGATCATCTGCTTGGGCGTCTTGTAGCTGTTAAGGCTGTCATTAATCATTAATGACGGTGGTTCGTCTCACAGGGCAAAGTCGTTCTTCCAATTTAAGACTGATTACAATTTGTACTGCATGATCGTCTCAAAAGAGCATCAGCATTTAAGTGAACTGCCCGGTGTTCAATCTCGTAATCATATTCTTGTAATCGTCCTAATCATCCTGCCAGCTGGACCTCTGGATAACGGAATTAAAGGAGCCATTTTAGAGCGGCGTGATCCGTATGAAGAAGGAAATTTCTGCCATACAAGTATTTATGGAAATGCTCGCACGCTTTCACTATGCCTATGTTTACTTCTTCTTGTGGCATACTGTTACATCTTCTTCTCCGCATACTATGTATACTTCTCGCAGGCATAACTGTATCTTCTTTAACGGCTGCTTGCACAGTGTTGTCATTATGTGGATGAAGAAATACCTCCTCGTTACCAACTTTAATTACCTTATTCTTAAAATCCAATTGGAATCCATGCATATTCATTACGTCCATTCCTAATATACCATCCTCTTCGATGTCAGCAACTATAACAGTATGAACGAACTTTTCTGCTCCAATTCCTAATTGTACCTGGATTTCTCCATGAATGTTGGCATTTTCACCTGTGGCGGTCCGTAGTCGCAACCTCGTTGGTAACAGTTTATTACGGCTTTTTATCTGTCGGGCGTATAATGGTTCTACACCAACAGCGTATGCCTTTTACCATTTATTTCTCCATCTACATATACACTATCTTCATAGCATATCTTATGGTCTTCGTTTTCTTGTACGTAATAATTTTCACTTTTTATCATATTAACGAGCTGGTCAAGTTGATCTTCATCTCCTTCCTCTTTTACAGTCCTAACTTTACTGTACCCGCCAGAGGCCTACATAGCTGACTCGTATTTGAGGGCGGCGGATAAGACAACAACCAGCCTCTTGTGACGAGCTAATCGCAGTGTTCTCTGAATTTCATGATCACCAAGACTATCAATAAATGTTTGAACGGCCAATTTTTCCATCATGTCTTCGGGGGCTGTTGGATAAGCATATGTTACTAATCTGGCAATATCTACCTCATATTCCTCATCTTTCTTTTATGTTCGATTTTTAAGCTGCGACTGATATACATGCTCCAAATGTTCGTGGCTGTATCGCATATTTAACCTCTTCTTAAGTTGTTCGAAATCATTCGTCTCCTGAAGCACATCTAAGGCATCTCCTCGAATAGCGATAGTCAGGTTTACAGCATTTTCTTTTTCAGACCATCCATTCGCTCTTACAGCTGATTAGAACTGTTTCATATAGTTGTTGCATGACGATTTTCCGTCGAAAGTTGGGACTTTATCATGAACAGAACCTCCACTTTCTTCAAATTTCGGCCGTGTTTCCAACTAACATTTCGTCATGTCTTCTTTTGTCTCTATTGTAATTGGATTGTTTCCTCTTTCTGCTGTCCCTGTTTCCTACATCTTCCTTTCCATCTCTTTCCATATCTTTTCTTCGAAGGCCAACATATCGGCAGCAACTTGGTTTTTTTAACGACGATATTCTATCGTCGAGGGCAGACATCTCAGAAGTGACTTTAGAGATTTCCAAAGAGATGTTAGCAGAAAATTTGCTTTCCAGAGAAGAAATCTCGTTAGAAACTTTGTCTTCTAAAGAAGCGATGTCGCCGGAAAGTTTCGAAATATCGCCAGAAATTTTGTTCTCTAATGATGTGATGTCACCAGAAACTTTCGAAATCGACGAGATGACAGCAGCATGTTTGTCTTCAAATATATAAGTTTCCGGTTACAATTCAAACTCGATTCGATACAATTATTCTTTTCAGACTGACCGTTTTTAATAGAAACATTCTTTAAATAAATTTAATATCCGTTATTCTTGAGTTCCCTCGAACGGACGGCGACCTTTCTTGAACTCTCTCGAACGGCTTGGAACCCAGACAGGTTTTATCGTAATGGACCCTACTAGAAAAATACTTCTTAGAAAAACATGTTTACAGTTTAGGCATGAGTTATATTTATCGTAACAGTTGTTTATTCCATTGTCTAAACACCATGACAACTAACCTAAATTAGTAATATAAAATAATTTTCATTCTGTAATTTAAATACTGTAAAATGTTATTTTCTCTTAAAATCATAAAAAAATAAAACAATTTATGAAAGTTAATACAAATTAAGGATTACTTCACTTTTAATTCTTAGTTTGTAAAGTAGATAGACACTGGATAAAAGAAGCATAGCATATGAAACAAGATTATTATGTAGTTACGTATTCCCAGCCAAAGGACATCATCATCATCATCATCACCACCAATTATGGATAAGCAAAATTGATTATGAATAAGACCGCCTAGGCCCTATTAAGTCCTAGTTATTGTCCTATTTAGTCCTACATCAGTGCTCCAAAAGTCCATCAGAAGAAACTGCTTATATTCATTTTATCAAAGATAAACAAATTGGACCAATGGTACCTACATGAAGACAAACGGAACGTAAAATATTTGGAAGAGAAGAGCTCTCTTTTTTAAAGAAGTGAAAGATGAAACTATTAGTGCCTTATTTATACTAAAACCGGTATAAGATAGCCTATAGAAAAATTATAACAACTTATCTGATGGACATTTTCACAAATAGCACAATATATGATTCATTCGGCGGTCAAGAAGAGAATGGGGACAGTTTTGTTGAAAACATCGAATATCCCCGCTGGAATTACGCCACAGCGTAAATCGTAATATCACATCCAACCAATCGGAAAAAAGAGGTTGTATACGACACTTGCGTCATCTCTCAAGAATCTACAATTAAAACAATTTTAATATTTACGTTATTTGAAACGAATATACATTGTACAGGGAGCTAAAAAATCATTCCGTTCTGAATGCAATGAAAATTAAAACAATAAAGATTCTTTGGATCGTTACAA